CTCCTTAATAAGTTGAGTATATTGATATGACTCACTTAGTTCAAGTAAATGTTTAGTATTATTATCTGCAATAGATGCACTCATGTTACAATTTAAATCACCAATGATATTATTTTCAATACCAAGGAACTCGATTTTATCTAAAAGAAAGAATCTTTTATAACTTGAAATATGTTTTTTCTTCATCATCATCATTGTGATTAATGTAGCTGCAGCCTGGAGTTTCACTACTGTTACAGCCATTTCCAAAGACCTGTTGTTGAACTGTAGCATATGGTTGGGCATACATTATAGATGTACTGCCTATTGGTTGAGTGTTTTGAGTGGTTTGGTTTCCCAACAACAAACTAAACATCTTCAACTCATGCTCTCTTTCCTGGTTTCTTCTTTCATTCTCAAGATGCATTTGCTCCATTTGAAATTTGTGCTCTTGTTCTAATTTAAACTTTTCAAGCTTTTTATATCTACAGTACAAGATAAATTTTTAATGTCTCATTACTCATTCATGTTTGTAAAAGATTTGAAGTTAAAACTGAAGATACATCTGTAGGGTAGATTCAGTATTGTACCTTTTTTTTCCTTTTTTTTAAATTTATTTTCCCATGTATAAAAATCTACTTAAAATATATTACAATAATTTGAAGATGTTGGGCTAGAGACCTACTAGAAATCTTCATAGACTTGTTATTTTAGGTCTCTAGTTACTGTTCGTTTTATCACATAATCGATTATTTACAGTCAATCAATACATAATATGTAAAATCAGAAAGTTTTGAAGATATACACTATATTTACAAGAGAGAAAAAGAAGTGGGAATGTTCGTATTCAGGGACGTAGCGACTGGGTGTGTGTGGGGGGGTGTGACACCCCCCCCAACTAAGACGATTTGAAAATTTCAGGTAAATCCATGAAAAACTGGCGTTAATAAATCAGGTAAAAAATCTTGAAAACTCATAAGGGAAACGGGCAAATAATAGAGGATTGAAATGCGGAAAATAGATAAGGTTTTAATTTATTATGGCTACGTTGATACGTTCAAGAGGTTTTCCGTCTTTGCAACGTGGCCAAGGCTTTATTTTGCAAGAAAACAAATATTGAATAAAAAGAATACGTTATTGCACGTCCGTATTTACTATTCCCATCGGCAAAAATAACCAGAATTTTTTTTTGCGAAGTAAATTTATTATTCACTTCCGTTTTTTGGGTGCTTCCGGTTTTGACAAATACTGAAATACATGTGTTTACAAAGTCAACCCACAGTCTACACACAAGGTACGTGCAAGAAATTATATTAATTTCATTATTTCATCT